AATGAACATTTTAAGCGCGAGCCCTGAACAAATGCCCCGTTTTGCCTCCCCCTAAATTTAACATTCGATAGGTACGTAATTATATGTATGTGCACGTGTCGATGTTCTTTCGCGAATAAAACAGTCGAATACGTGCGTACATGGGAGTCGACGAATGTCATCGACGTCCGGAGCTGTGCGGCGATCGACCGTGACTGTTTCCCGTATATCGCGTTCGATTTCCGCGAAATACGGTCGGTCGTGCCCAACTGCTCCACAGCAGTTGAAGCTTTCTAGCCAGTTTTCGATAGCGTTTTACCGAGTACCTATTGATATTCCGTATGAAGTTTCTAATGTCGACAAACGTGATTTCGATTGACTCAAGGCGCTTTACAACACTAAAAAGTTCTACATATCGTCGTACTTGTACACCGGTGTTCGAAATCTAGTGGCCTAAGCCAGCCAATTGCAGTGCCGTGTCGGAATAGTGTCCATTGACCGGCGAAGAGTAACGGTTCGACAGCCGCGAATTGTTATTCGATCCGCAAAATCCAACGGCGCCTGCCACTCTGTTGGGCAGCTAAACAAATATTCCGCACCTCATCGTCAATGTATCCGTCCCCAGAATTAACTACCGAATTGTCGAAAGGCTCCAATCGGTGTTCGGTGGTCCTAGGTAGGGAACACGATGTATTGCGCGGGAACGTGGTCGAAACGGGCAACAAAAGAGTGTTCGGGTCACACCCCTCGTTATTTAATGTGCTGTTCGAGCCTAATAATTCAGAAATCATTCTTTGAACCCGCATTGGAAATATCACGTAACTCGCATTCCGATTTTAAGTGCGCGATGAACATTTGAAAAATAGTTTTTCATGCGCTCGACATCGTGTTTTTGTTATTGTTGATGATTTCACCACGGTATCAACAACGATGTTATCACATAAGCGCTCGATATGAATTTAAGTGTGATAAACACTACGGTAAATCAACCGTAGATAACACCAACACCAGATCAAATGTGGCGGATGCATTTCAAAGCGATACGCTTATCGTATGCGCACGCGACTGATGTCGACTGGTTTATGGACATTTTTTTTTTAATTTGACACAAAAATAATCGGTGCAATTGTAGATGAGACTAAAATGCAATTACATTCAGGGTCGGCATAAGGCTAAACGACGCCCGAGGCCAAAATGCCAACTGGCGCCTTTTTCATACAACCCGTAATATCATTATACTTAGAAAAAATGATATATTATGCTCAACTTGTACATCATTTATTATCGTCTAATTTTTAGTCAAGAGTCACGACGGTTCGACGCGATCCCGATTAAACGATAACAAATATTTGGGAATTATAGCAACATACACGATAAAACATTCTAAGCTAAACCATAGTAAATATACTTAAAATATACTTATATTATTTCAATATACGGCTGAACTAAATAACCATAACTATAAGCAATATTTTAATACAAAATTATAGGAATTTTATATTAAAAAAAAAAAAAAAATATTATTGACATAGTGCAAAATTATAAAAAACAATTTTGGCGCCCCCCAAAAAATGGCACCCTAAGCGATCGCCTGAGTCACTTTACCCTCACACCGACCCTGATTACATTATTATTTTCGTCAACATTGACACTCGTTAGCTGCCAACTCATGATTATCGGGGGTTTTTCTTAACTAGCAAGCTAAGTTAGTACTTGTCGAATCAACGAAATCCTGTGTATGCAAATATTTTATGTGGCACAAAATAAAATTACTTACGATTTTGTTGTTACCCACACTTAATCCAATGATGAGATTCCTCATGGAGCCAATTTGTCATGGTAACACACCAAACACACAAATTAAATTTAAATTTAATTAAATATTTAATAATAATAATAAAACAAAAAATTAAAATTAATAACGACAATAATAATTAAAATTGTATAGTATTTTAAAATAACTATATGTTATAATTAACATTATTGTTATTAGAATAATAAAAAGAAAAGTTAAAAGGACCACGAAGACTCCTGAAACCAGAAAAGCTTGTCGATCGCTCGCGGCGGTCGGCACACCGTCAGTGAACGTTTCATGATACATCGCTGTTTCTCAGAACTGTTATTTCAATTAATCAGGCGTCTCGATTGATAATCGAACGTACGATGGCACTATGACAAAGGGGTGTGACGGGTGAGATGGCGGTATCCGTGTGAAACGACAGTGTCAATCTGATGCAGGGGCGGGTTTTATCACTAACCAAGGGAGCGGCTAATGAAGGTTTAAGAATTTAGTTGGTTAGTACTTAGTTGGTTTTTTAAATCTATATAAAATTTTAAATTACAGAATATGTTTTTGAGTCCCTCATAAGTAAGTAATTTTTTTCACAATAATGACAAAGTTTAAACAGTTACATTATTGGTTATTGGTATCAATTTTAATCTGAAACCATTTTAAAATATAGGTAAATACATGTAATTAACAACAAAATTGAGCTATTTATTTATAAAAAATATATATAAAATAGGTACCATATTCATCAATGACCATTGACGATATTTTATTATAATTATTAATATATAATAATACTTTGCTTTGTAAAATAGATAGCTTAGTCCCAAGGAGGGACTAATGCCCCCTTAGCCACCCCCTTAAACCCACCCGTGATATGATGTTCTACAATTTGATACCTCACAGCAGTGGTGCCTAAACTACGGCCTACGGGCCAACTCCGGTCCGCCATCATTGAATATCTGGCCCGCGAAAGTATTCTACATTACAACATTTATTTGCGTAACTGTAATATTTTACATTAACGTAAAAATAAAAATTGAAAAATACATGTTTTTATAGCCCTCGGTAAAAAAAAGTTGTTTTTTATGGCCTGAGGAAAAAAAGTTTGGCCACTACTGCTTCACAGTATTCGGTAATACAATATAACCTTTATGTGCAGAACATAATTATATTAGTGTAAATGTTAGATCACACAGCGCCATGGTGGTGGTTCGGCGCGTTCTTTGCCTACCCTTGTAACTGTAACACTTGCCAGAGGCAATATAACGAACCAATTTTTTCAGTACTATTTGGTAATTTTTATTGTATAATGTTTTTTTTTTTGTTTTTATACTAAATATTTAATTTATAATTTCCTTAAATTTATAATAAAATGGTCAAATGAACACTATTATACTATTGGAATTATGCAAAAAATAATCCTGACATAAAAAACCCAAGTGATCCTTAACATGAAAATCACAATAACATTCAAAACTCGTACATTTCTCTACTAGTACACGAATTACACGATTTACATAAGATTCAGTACCATTCTATAACCTTTTATTGTACCACTGTATTTGATGCAAATACGAGTATATATTTAAATAAAAATGTATGCGGTATAATAGTAAAAAAAAAGTATAAGTATTAATTATTAACTACGGTTAAAACGGTTAAAAGGTAAAAAGGAACTAACGGTTAAAAGTATTAACTTAATTCGACTTGTGTATTTGTGTCTATACGTACGATATGATCGGTGTATACGACAATTGGTTTTGGTATTTTGCTTCAATACTAGGCGGCTGATGTATACATGTAATTATATAAAATGCACATATGAGGTAGTCATAAATATTAAAATCAGCCATCAAGTATTAGATAATGAGATATTGAAACAAAACAGGTAAAAATATAATATTTATAACTAAGGAGAAAAGAGAGAAGTTTAGAGAAATTATTGAAATAAGTCGTAAATTAAAAGCTTAAATAATGTTGATATCGGTGCAATTTCTGGACACGATTTTTTTTCGTTGTAAGAATATAATAGTTCTAATTTTGAACTTTGTGGTTTTTTACTTTTTGAAAACTTTTTAGGGAATATATACTATCTTGTAAGTAGAATAGTTATAATTGAATAAATTAAATTTAAACGAAGAAATTAATAAAATACCAATGTTATGTTTAACTGAAGACATGAAAAAATAATTAATTCCCGAAATTGGAAAAATATCTAAATTTGTTCAAAAACTGAAAGAATTTAAAAGGACAAATAAAGTAAGTGAAAAATGTATTTTATTTCTATGCGATATAATCAGGGCTAAAGTTACAAATTGAGGTATCTTATGCAAACTAATTTTGTGGAAATTTTTAGTTTTTATATTTCCTTCATTCTGGAACACTGAAATTATTTTCAATATTATGATTTTATTAGAAATTAGAAATAATGTTGTTTCAAAAAAATAAAATAATTGTAAAAATCCAATAATACAATAAAAACTATAGAATACCATAGGATTCAAATAATTTTCAGAACTATCTATGCTCCTACTTATGTAAAATAACATATTTATTTAATAAATTTAAATATATTGAATTTTGGTTAGGCAAGCTAAAATATCTTAAATATACCAACAAATAAAAAAAAAAACGCAACAATTTTTTGGATTGAGCATTCCTTTGGCAGGACCCCATAATTGTATGGGGCTCTTTAAAGGTGAACAGTTTGCATTATCCTTACACTGATCTAAAACTTTTCTCTACGAGTACACAAATTACACACGATTCAGTACCATTCTATAACTTTGTATTGTACCACTGTATTTGATGCAGATAACTGTTTTAAATAAAAATTGATGTAGAGTATAATAACTAAGATTTTTTAACCATTTAAATTGTTTACTATTTATCTTTATTAGGCCATATAAAATATTAATATTTGAGAAATAGCATTCACTACTGTAGCTGTTGTCTATGATATTTCTAGTATCATCAAAGATTTGTGTTATATAAATTAGGCGAGTACAGTGTACTCAGTACACACAATGAAAACAATCAACATGAAGGTTCATATTCTTTTTATTCAAAATAATATATGTTTTTATATTTAATATAATTATTAAAATGTATTGATAAAAAAAATACTTGAATAAATGATCATTAAGAGCGATAAATAGTTATTATTGATATTTTAAGTAATTATAATAAAAATAAATAAATATAAATTAAAAAATGATATAGTTTTCGATTATTTAGTAAATTTGCGATCACATTATGGACAGATTGGATCATCCGTGGATTGACCTGGTAGGCGAGCATCATATCGAAACTTAGAATGATACCACTTGGTTGCTTTTCTTTTACGGACTATAACATGTTCCTCAATGATACTGTAAAATATATTTTAATTTTAATTAAATTTAATAATGAGATTATTGTTATTTGTAAATACTATCTATAGATTTCTTTCCTGTTTATAACATAAAATATTACATTTTAAATCCCACTATATTTATAATAAAATTGAACTGCTTATGAAAAAAAATTAGAAAACAAATATTTTTACTCGATTGAAGGAATTAAACAGAAAATTTCTTTGTGAAAATCATACGATAATTATAATTTGTTTTAATTTTTCCATGATAAATCGATTTGATTTATATCTATAACAATAAAGTTTTTTTTCCTCGTGTTCAAAACATTTATATCATTAGTATTAGAAAGATTCAGAATGAGAAAAGTATTGGGACTGACCGATTTTCGGTAGTACCTATGTAATTCGAAGTTTCTAATTCTCATTAAAAATTCGCGATTATAGTTAGCTTAGTCTCTCGGTACAACAACACATAACATATTATTAAATAATTGTCATTGAATTAATAATGTATAGAAATATTTGTTTCTAATAAATTGGTTACCTACCTCTGATCCTTGCAAATATATTTCATATACCACACTGGACAAAATTTGAGGCAGCATTGCGTTGCTGGTCCTTCTTCGATACGCTGTTTGAGTGTTTTTCCAGGTACTGAAAGTAAATACATATATTTTAAAACACTGTAAAATGTGGCTAAAATAAAAATTGAAATTTTTCCCTTTAATCATATCAATAAATTAGGAAAGTGCTTGTAGTGAATTACAAATTATCACTCTGACGCACGTCATGAAAAATTACGTAACCAGTTGACGAGGAGAACATTTACAATTTTTAATCTCTATAACAACAAATATTACACCTCGAAATTCTTGTTGGCATACTAGATTTCAAATCTAAACTTCGAAATATTTGTTTATATCGTAAAATATGGGTGATTATCATTCCTGTCCATTTTTATGTCAAAATGATACAAAAAAATAGTTACTTACCTATTCCGTATTCGTTATTATCGCCGTCATCGTTGTAAACTCCTTTGCATACCGCTCGTAGCATGTCAGCAAGTGAAGAACCACATATACGCACTTGATCATCCCAATCTAATACATAAAAAAAAAAGTATAAATTAATAATTTATAACTAAAAAAAATAGTTACACTTTTAAGAATGAATCTTGATTTTAAAAAATGATGAAAAAGTTTTGTAAAAGTAAAGTAAAAGTTGATCTTGAATTGAAAAGTAAATTCTTAAAACTAATCAGAGTACTAGATATTTAATAGTATAGATGATATATGTTTATTATAAATAATTATGTTACCAAAAACATAGTGAATGTAGTCATTTTCATTAATATCACCGCCGTCAGCTTGCACATAATTAAGGCTTGAAAACAAAACGAAGCACACAGAGAAGATCCTGAAACGTACAATAATTGAATAAGATAAGAGTTATATTATCTTATGAAATGATATACTGTTCAAAAACTGTCAATGATAATTATCGAATTATGGTTATTTTTTATAAATACATATTAAATTTTTTTTTATAGATTCATAGATTCTAAAATCATTTTTTAATCATGATTGCATGTATAAATAACAAAAACTAATAAAAATATAATGAATAAACTATTTAATAAAATTTAAGAAAGAGTGATTTATCTAAAAATGTTCTTATACCATTTCATAGGAAAATCTGGTATCTTACAATAACGAATACTTGAAAACCATCCATACCGAATGAAAATAAAGTGAAAACAAAACCAAAATCATAGCAATGTATGGACAATTTTAAATTAATTTACCATAAACAGTTATTTCATCGATATTATTAATAATTACTAATGAATATTTGTCACTTACATTTTGACTTTCATGATGATTTTGACAGTGGATGCCCTGAAAATAAAAATAAATGATATATTAACTATCGATATTATATAATATGACTATTTCATAAAATATATTATAAACCAGTCATTGAAAGTTTAATTATTTTAACACACTAGAAAAAACTGTTGTTGTGTATTGTTATTTTTTATTTGCATCCCGTGCAATTAATTAATCCTATAGTTCTGTATCAATCATAAAGTGATTTGAATTTTGTATACAACGTTTATATGAATGACTTTTTTTTGATGAAACTTGATCATTTGACGAAAAATATTTCTAAAATATGGTTGAAAATCGTATTTTCTTTTTTTTTTTTTGTGAATAAATGGAAAACGCATGGAGATATACAAAATCATTAAAGCAAAAAGATGGAACCTCATTGATCAAATGTTGAGACACAAAAATTAACTAATTTCTAAAATAATAAAAGGGAAAATTAAAGGAAATGGTGATCGAGGACGTACCAGAATTGCATTTGTTGAACAAATGATTTCCGATGTAAGATTATCAATCTATATTGAATTGTAGAGGTTTGCTGGAAACGTGGAAGATTAGAGAACGAATATCCGGTAGCATCCGAAAACCGCACACTTATAAAATACTCATATATACATTTTTTTTGTTTGAATAAATTATAAATTATTAAGTATACTTAACAAAGGTAAGTATAACCAATTTGAGCTCGAAATCAATAGTTTGCGGTTTTAGGAGTAAACGATTTATCCGACTGCATAAACAATCATAAAGTTCAATACAAAAAAAGAGATAGTGGGATACGATTGATATGAAAGCTGTTGATGTCTTTATAGGGGATGTAAAAAATCGAAACGAGTGGAGATATAGTATCAGGGTGGCCGATGTAAACTATTTGGGAGAAAGACGACGGAGAAGAATATACAATACTATAATAATATTAATAATATAATACTTCTAACAACAACTTATTGTTTAAAAGGTAGTTTATTACAAGATCTTTACAATTTATAAAGTATACACATGCTTTAAGTAAACTAACATCTTAGAGACTAATGCTTTGATTATTGCCATACCACAATAATTATGTATAAACATTACAACATTACATTTTATTATTATTGCATCAGATCCATTTGTTAGAAAGGAAAAAAAATAAATTCTCATTTACTCATTTGTCAAATTATACTTTAGAACAATAAAATAATGACATATATACAATTTTTAAGAATACATTTTTCAATAAACAAATGCAGATATATAATAATATTAATAATAATATTAAATATTATTATATATTTTAAATAATAATATTTAATAATAAATAGTATAATTTCAAAGTCTACTCACGTTTCGTTGTCAATGCAATAGTTGAAGAAACAGTGAAAGACGTTGAAGTTCCAATATGAACGGCTGAATGACACTGGTCAGGTCTATACTACGACTCCTGGTTTATATACGTACGAGGGCAAAGCACAAGATGACCGAAGGACGTTCTTAAGTGAGGGATTATTATGGGTCATAACTCCCCACTACTCTAAGTAAAAAATGTACACCATTTGATTGGTACTTTATGATATAGAGGGAGTGTAGAATTTAAAGTTACAACTAGTTTTAATCTAGAACTCATTATGGTGGGGGCCGGGGTGAGGGAGAGTAGATTGCGTATATTTTTTTGAACAATCACTTATTTAAGATTTTCCCTTTTCTGTCAACATACATTTTGTAAAAACTTTACGTATTCGGTATTACTACTTAGAGTACACAGTATGTTAATGTTTTTCACGTTTGCAATGTTCCTCTACGTTTTTTCTTATGGAGTATTAGATATAAATGATTTCGTAATATTGTGTCATCTTCGTGTCGCTAAGAGCTTCGATATTTATGGATATAAAACGGTCCCTAAAACGGACCTTTTTTTTTACATATTTATATTGTATAGAAACCTTGTATCATATAGTGTAAAGGTGTATTTTGTTAACGTGGAGATCGTGGTGGTTGCGTACAATAGAATACCAGCCAATTTTTTTTTCAATTTCAAATTAATGTCACTAATGTTTACGGCGAGTGCATTGCTACGTAAATCGTCAACTATTTAAACGTCGTTACACATAATAGGTACATTACTATGAAGGTTTTACTAATGTAACCAGTAATCATACGCTACACAGTCGAGACTCTGGTGATAGGTACTGGTAGCCGAAGATAATGTATGGCGTTTTAACAATTTCCTTCTGGTGTAATTATTAGTACGGCTGACGAATATTTAGGTGCGTAAGTGTATCAATACACGATACTTGTACGATACGGATTATGAATAGGTATTGAAAATTCATTACAATATTAATACTACGAAGCGCTTTCAAACATTACAACATATACCAATCTATTGTTTGCCTCTTTCTAATGCCATTCCACTATAACTATTATATACGTATAGTATATTATAAATTTTGTGTTACATATTAAATAATTTATTGGTACCTATTCTAACTTACGTTTACTCTGACTGATACTAATACATAGTCTAACTTTTATATACGTACTCTTTAAGTTTGATGTACAAAACCGGTATTTTGTCGGTAGTCTCTAATTCTCTGACCGTCATACACTCTTCAGTATTAAAGATTACTCTTCACAACAAATTAAAATTAAAAGAAGTATACTATTGCAAGAAAATTATATTTTTTTAATAAAATCAAAAATATAAACAATTAATCAATCAGGTCTGTCTGACACAGCTCTGTAGTTAGGTAAGAAATATAATTTGAATAAACGTAACAATTAAAATAACTCATAAGTATCCATAATAGAAGTAGTCGATCACTACATAACAACCTCCGTATACCCTCCAATACACCACTGGTTTTTCTTAATATTAAATTACCCAAAGTTCCAACATTTTGGTTTCTAATAAATATAAAATTATTAAAACCAATATGGCAATTAATCAAGGCATATGTTTTCTTGCCAATATCGACTGACCAATAAAATACGTGCATGCATGTAATCATACTTTACATATTTAAATATTAGTGTTTAAATAATTATTATTATATTTTGTATTTGAAAATATTAAATAGAATATTTTAAATTTTAAATTTTAAATGTTGTTGACAAAAAGTATTCATTACGATAATATTTCCCGTGTATCGTATATCTATTTGACTAATTATATTTTATAGTATCGTAGTATGGCGACACCCTGAATCCCAGTATCTCACATACACACATACTCTAACACTCGTTATTCGTTAATAATTGTTAAAATTAATTTATTAAGTTAGTCACTAGTCACTACACACTAGAAATTAAAGTAATTTTGGAACACTTAGGAATCGTCCTTGTACGAGGAAGTCGGTTGCATTTCGGTTCATGATTTTATTTTGGAACACAACCAACGGACAATAATCACAATGGCGATTGCAATTTTTATAAGGTATACTCCTGTTGTTGTACACATTTATATAATTGAATTTTTATACATCAATTCATCATGATCAATATATAATAAAACAGCTTTTGTTATCTCGTAATATCCATCAGTCTAAAGGACCCTATACGCTATAAGTACGTTATACCCTATACGGAGGTATAGCCTAATATATATAACCGAGAAATATCATTAATTAATTGGTCGTATAGTTTCAATATCTACGTTTCATATACTCCGGAACTAGTATTTCGGTATCGATAACATATTACAAAAAAGTAGAAAAATATGTTACACGTTCAGTATAAATCATGCAATCACGTTTTAACCTTGTTCTTGAAATTGATCCCCCAAAGTATTGTGATTTCTTTTTTAAATCTATGATATTATTTTGTAAGTAAATTTTTAGAATTTGCTAGTCTAAACTTTCAGCGTGAAACCAAATAATTAAAATTTGGACCAACTTCACAAAGTTCATCTGATATTACTTAAAATTTTGAAATTAGTACCAAACGAAAGCTAGTGATTGGTAAGAGTTTTCAAGTCATTCAGTTGGATGCTATAAACTTTTGGACTTGAGAAGTTGGTACACTCAAAAAATAAAGAAATGTATTCACATCACTATTTTTTATTCTAATAAATACACTAATATATAGAGATATATAAAATTAGTAACCATGGTGTGTAGCAATATAGATCTTATCGGTGAACTGTGATGTCTTTACGGTGAATGGTCAAAAGATCGGCATCATTGGATAATTGCTATGATGGTAAGTGGTTACAATTGGGTTTACTTGAAAATTTGCAACACCTCCCCCAATACATACTTCTATTAACATGATATAAAAATAAATAAACCTTTTTCAGTAGAAATATTTTTATTGGTACACAATAAATACGTTAGATTCTATACAAAAAAAATTATTATTCAGCGATTTCAAGATAAAAATTACAATACGATAATTATCCAAGTAAAAATATTAAGTAAAATTATGACTTATTGAACTTTTATCAATCCATTAATTACAAAAATTTGCCTACATTCAAATAAGTATTGTTTGAGTTTTTTTTTTAGATGTATTTCTTATTTTATTATATATTCATCGAATATTCTCGGTACATGTCCATGACTCATTGGAGACGCTGTCAAATTAACAGCTGAATATATTTTTTTAATAACATAATAGAAGTTCTTTTTCCAGGGGTTATTCGAATAGAAAATAATACCGTCAGCAATTGTTGATTAGTTGTATCGCACATATATTTTTATATCTGTATACTTATGCACTTAAATATTCGTCTGCCGTGATAATTAGACCAGACAAAGGTTACGACGCCACACATTATCTGTAGCTACCCGTACCTGTCACGCTTGTCTCGACTGTTTAGTGTGAGATACGTGTCCGGATAGGTATCTAAAAACTCTATAGAAATATATTTTGTGTTACGACCAGCGGTGGATTGGTCTACCAAAATACCGGGAAAGTTCCCGGTGGGCTGGAAGTCGTATTATAACATTGGAGCAATGTACTTGGATTAAAAATTATTATATAAAAATAATTTATTTAAGTATATTGTATTTAATTGTAAGATTGTGATAACAACCACAGATAGTTTACAGCGTAAACGTGATTTAAACAGTTCTACAAGTATTTAATCCATGATAAAGGAGACATTATGGAAAATTATTATTATTGGATGGTGGGCTGGTCATATGGTAATTTTCCGAGCCGAAATGTTAGCCAATCCGCCGCTGGTTACGAAACCTAAATGGTCAACGACTTAGGAATGCATTCATCTAAATCAGTAAAGACAATAGTTTTATGCAGTTACAATACGAAAAAAAAATTCACACATTATACCTACATAAAAAACAGAGCTATACTTATAGTAAAGTTATACGTCATTTATATATATATATATATATATATATATATATATATATATATATATACGTCATGTAATATAACAATATAAATGTAATTCTGTAACATATCGGACATTGAAATAGTTCGTCGCAACTAATTTCAAACAATACCAGACATATATTCCACTATTGCATTATTTATATAAATAATTAGTACTAATATCAATTTTCTTTTTTTTTTTTTTGCATTCATAAAGTAGGTAATTGGTAAAATTAAGATTTAATTTTAAAACGAAAAACGAAAAAAAAAAATTGTACAAACTTATCAAATTTTCTTATCAAAGTAATTTTAAGTTCATAGGCAATTGTGTGTGTATTTGTATATGCGTGTAATTGCTTATATTTGTGTATACGGGAAGAGTATTATTCTATACGGTTTTTTTATTTTTTTTTTTTACAAGATTTCGTGTTAAAAGAACTAGTTTTCGTTTATAATAATATTATGCACCTTTTAATTTTTAAAATGTTTTAGAACTTCTTTTATAGGCATTAAATAAGATAGTGCAATTATTTTGTAAATGTTTCTCGTAAACGAAATATTTTTGGTCGTTGATTCAGCTTGTATTTCCAAAATTATGGAAATTATACATGCGTAGGATGAGCACTATACAATTTCTTATTGTATATTTTACGAAAACATTGTGCTGCATTTGTCGTTCAAACGTTTAATAAATTAATAAAGTATTTTGTCAAATATGTGTTTACTTGATAATTTTGGGTCCTTTCTTAACAAAACTTGTAGGTGTATTTAATAAATTATCATGTATAAATAATTAATTAACAAACAACATAAAATTAAAAACAAATTAAACATCAATTTAAATTTGCATTTGATATTGTGGTATATTAGTTTAAATTAATATGGTTTCCTTGTATTTGGTTTTTTTTTTCTCATATAGCTTCAATTATTTATAATTTGTACTTGGTAGTCTATTGTAGTTGGTATATTATCATTATTGTTTTTGCAAGGATATTTACAATATTTTAATTCATTTTTTCTATTTGAAATCATAATTTATTTTTTGACAAATATTTTAGAATAAATA